GGCCTGCGAGAATTTTAAGCACAGAAGGCGGCGGGGTGCCAAGGCGAGGTGCAGATAGCAAGGGGTGTAGATGAGCAGGACAGAAGAAGGGCTGAGGTTCTGAAGGATCGAAAGAGGCGGGTCGACAGTTCCGTGTAATTGGGGTGGTCGTTCAAGTGGTGCGTGTTTCCACTTTCACCACATATATCCAACCATCCCAACTACACAGCCAATCGCTCGCGATGCTGGCCAAGGAGAGGATCAGACTTTGCACGTGGGAAGACGAAGAGACATGCAAGAAGGGAAGATTGTGCGTAGATCCAAAGCGGGGGAACGGGTTTACGCGCTGTGCAAAAATTTGAAAAACAGCACGCGCACGTTATTGTGCAAGAAATCAAAATTTTTACCCATACTAATTCCTAACCATTTCTTGGATTTATCGGCGTGGTTGCTAGCCGTCCGCACGAAAAGATCATCAGGGGCAGCTAAAAAAAAAATATAAGTTTTTGTTATGTTCCTGCCCCCCTTTTTCAAGAAGAAGAAAAAGAAAAAGAACAAGAAAAGGAAAAAGGACGCCGCTTTTCTCGATCAGCCAGAATCTGTGCTTAGAGGCTTACTTGGGATTTCTCCCCTAAGGGTACGGAAAGCCGCTGAGTACGAATCATGGCTTGTGACATCTGTGATGCGCAGGGGGTCCTGAAAAATTAGCAGTCTCCCGATTGCGGTGTATGTGTCTTAATTACTATGAGGATCTGGGCAGCCCCTTCATCACCAGCTGGGTCGGATAATCTTCTAATTTATTCTTGGTGCATCCCACACCATTGTCAATCTGTCGTAAAATTATACACCCGATCAGCCGGCCACTCCATCATCAACTGGCCCGATTGGTAATCAATCGATTTTTTTATTATTATTATTTTTTTATATACAACGCATGTAACACACGACCTGTCTGATCAAGAAGAAGAGGATGAACGATAGGAATGGAGGTTTAGAGGAAATGATCGATTTCAGAATTGAGTGGGGGAGGGAGCGGGGGAAGGAAGGCTGCTAATGGAGCTAGGGCGTCGGTGGTTCCACTTCATTGAAGTGGTGTTCGACGAAGGAGGGGTAGAGAAAAGCCCCCAGCACGCGTGACAATACACGTGACGCCAGACCAGCGATAGCCTGAATGATTTGTAGTCGCACAATACGGTTCCCCGGCCCCGTCATCACTGGATGAGTCTCCGTGTACAAACGCCGCTCCTGTCTAAGCACCACCAGGATGAGGAAGTGATACATAGCATTTTGTCGCCGCCCAGCCTCGTAGATGACGGTCCCTGCTAATCTGGCTGCCACGCATCCCTCGAACGGCGGCTCCAAAAATGACACCCATGCAGGATCAAGGTGTGGGGCCCCTTCGATCGCCTCTAGCCGGATCGTTGCCAGCTCCACCATGTAGTCGATGTCAGTCGGGTGGATGCTCCTGCTCGAGGCGATACTCCTGGAAGCAGATTGGTCCCGCGAGGACGGGGGGTCGGGATACGGAATATGGTACTCTTCCCACTTTTCCTCCTCCTGCTAGTGTAGAGGGGCCTGATCCATCGAGATTGAGATAGGGGAGGTCCGCTCCGGGTGGCTTACACATGTCAGAGGCCCGTTCGCTCCGTCTCCTTCCCGAGGTGCAGGTCCGACGATCTGTGTGGCCTGGCTTTCTGGCGTGAGATCTGGCTTCCGCAATGGTACCGGCTGAATCACCTCTTCTCCCAGTCCCACCCGAATACCTTGCGCTTTCGGCGATGCCTGCCGACACCGGTTTTTGATAATCTTCTTCTGCGGCCTTGGGGGAGCTGGCCGTAGGTAAGACGAGGGGGGCCGCAACTGCTTCTCGAGGTTGAGATCGACTACTCTTTCTTTCGCCTCCGTGAGGTAATCTGGTATGACGACCACGTGGTTTGTTCCTCTCGGAGTTGCTGTCACCCACAGCCGGACCTGGAGGTCACCTTCCTCGATGGCGATCGCCTGCCCGATCGATAGCAACTCGATGTGAACGAGCTCCAACGGCTGCTGGCACCGCTTTCTGATAATCTTCTTCTGCGGCCTTGGGGGAGTTGGCCGTGGGTAAGACGAGGGGGGCCGCAACTGCTTCACGAGTTTGAGATCGACTACTCTTTCTTCCGCCTTTGTGAGGTAATCCGGTACGACGACCACGTGGTATGTTCTTCTCAGAGTTGCTGTCACCCACAGTCAGACCTGGAGGTCACCTTCCTCAATGGCGATCACCTGCGCGATCGATAACAACTCGATGTGAACGAGCTCCAAAAGACCCGGCTTATCCGTTCGGATGTTCCCGAACGGATACAACGCCATTGTTCCTTCCTTTTGGTCCAACTTGGGCTTGGTTGTCATATAATAGACTAGCAACTGATCACTAACACTATGCTCCTCGTGCTCGATGTAGAACTGGAACATGCCCAGTACCACGGATCGGTATAGCGCCCGATGCAACTCCCACGCTTCTTCGTTTGCGAATGATATTCACGGCTTCACGTGGACCAGCTCCACAAGGTACTCGAGAAGTGACACATAGGATAAGGGTTCTCTGTTAATTGGTGAGGAAGGGTGGTGTAAGAGAAGAAGGGAGGCATTTAGTATAGGGGTAGGATAGCTTGGATGTTCAATGGCTCAGCGAGGGGGAGAAGCCCAGGCAACAACGGAACTAAAGCCATGTGTCTGCCCCGGTGCCTCCAAAGCAACGACTCGTAAGCCGTGAAACGGCGGCCCACACATCCTTGCACCCGCGCCACCGATCGAGCTACTTGCAACACGCACTCCGGCAAGAACTTCCTCACCGGCTTGCGTATTCGCTCCTCCAAGAGCATCAAATTGCCTATAAATGTGGCGATACTATGTGCAAAGGTGACTGCCACTCGTGGTGTGCGGAAATCGATAAACACTCATGTCGATTCCCCGATAGGCAAATGCGTCACATCCACATACACTCCCGCATACGTTAGCTGATCGCATAGGAGTGAGTATGGTGCAAGATCCGCGATACTCAGCCCAGGAAGCAGGGGAGGGTGAGAAGAAAGAAGAAGGGGATTACTTGGGCGGGACAAGGGTCCGACCGCCACCCAGTGATGGCCAAAACGTACGGAGGGCAGCAGCATGGCGAGTGTCACGGAGTGTTGTCCTTGTGCACCAACTTTCCTCACCTCGTAAATGCCAGTGTAACGGCGATGGATTTTAGAGGAGAGCGCGGCTTTCCGTACCTGCACCAGATCCCCGACTTTATAGCGGGGCAGTGGGCCCGCCGATACATGTAGGTTCTCATAATCCCGGATGTGTCGTTGATATGTCAAATCCACGGCCCTCTGTCGCCTTCAGGCCAACGTGGGGTAGGTCCTAGCAATCATTTTTTTTTTGTATTGAGCCTCGTCCCTTTGTTGAGCCCTGTTCGCTCAAACTTTTGTACCTACTAGAGGTCACAACTGGACCTGTGTTACCGCGCGTTCATTGAACGCACGTTCTACGTTCAGATTGTGAACGCGCTGAACGTTCGTTCAGTGAACGAGGGTAAACGCGAATGACGCGTTTGCGCAGGCGGTGGTGCGGGGTCAGGCGGGGCTGCTGGGCGCGGCGGTGGTGGTTGGGGACCCTTGGGGAGATTGGGGGGGCCTGTGGGCAGTGTGGGGACCTGTCTCTTATACACATCTAGATGTGTATAAGAGACAGTTATTGGGTTCGGAGTGCTTGTTGGGTTTTCTTCTGGCGCGGGGCCCTTGGCTTTGGCACTTGATGTTCGGGCGAGGGCAAATCACTTTTGGTTTGCTTTGCAAT